GCAAAGCATATTTATAAATTTCATATAAAGTTTGAGCGTTTGTCCATGGTGAAAACTCCTATTGTGCGCTTCAAAGATTGAGACAGCCTGCATTTCCAGAACACTTGAAATCACCTACTAGATTACAACACAGTGTTATATCCCAGAAAATCATTATATGAAGGTGTAATTTTCATGTTTGTACTGTGTTCTCAGGCAGTGAAGTAGGAATGGCAGATGATGATGGGGACATCAGCCGAGAAGCATCGCCGTGTGATGAGTCATGTGAGAATGATATGGTGGGGAATGTTAGTCATCAGGAAGAATCTCTTGCTTCAGTGGTATCTGAAAGTACTCCTGTTGTGTGTCGGACAAATAAAGTGACGGTGGCTACACAGACAGGCCATGAAGCACCGGACTTAGCATTCAACCCCGACAAAATGACTACAGATAAACACTGCTATGAATGTAAAGTGCGTTATAGAGACCCAAAGCCTAGAGACCTCGTCATGTACCTGCATGCGTGGAAATACAAGGTATGATTTACGTGTATATCACTTGAAGTGGTGGTTCTCAACCTTTACTGATTCAGGAACTGATAAAGCAGCAGTATGTTTTCCAAGGCCTGGTACCCAGTCTGTCTGACATTGTTCAGGACAAATAATAGCATGCATATCTGATTATCATGAACATATGTGAACATGTAGATTCTGAAGGGTTCTGACAGTGGTGTATAACACTCAGAATTCCTGGGTTTTTGGCTTTGTCCATTGTCTGGTATTCTAGAAAACACAGAAGAACAACGTTTTTTGGAAACTGGATCTGTACAGTGATTGAGGTTAGCTCTTCCTAACAGACACTACAGAGTAGGCGTCTTCCACACCTCACCTGAGGACAGAAACACATCCAGTTTTGAAAACATATTCATTTGTGTTTTATAGAATACTGAATGATGGAGAAATACCAGTAACTCTGATATTTCAACATGTTCATTTACATTTGAATAACTATCACTTTTATATGAAATTAAAACAGAAAAGTTGACATATTCACCCACACTGAATATTGGCATTTATAATGATGCACGAGTGAATATCTGAGGTTTCTAATGTGGACCAGCTTCTGCATTTGTAGTTGGTGTTATAATAACCTCGAAATCCCATACCATTTCTTCCTTATCGCTTAAACTGATGCCATCAGTAAATGCAGAAAAGGCAGAGGGAAGCAAGTGTATAGCTTTCTTACTTCCTCTTATATGTCCTCTCTCACTTAGTGTGACCATCTTGTTAATTCTTTTGTATTTTCATTTTTTGATGTGAAGCCATGTAGTCTGGTAGATAGTTACCAACATTTTGTAGTAACCTGCTACATCCATCTTCATGATAGAAGGTACTCTGATGGTGTAGGCAGTGGATTCCTGTGAAACATGGAAACTGTCAGTCAGTGTATACAGCTTCATGTCTTGCAAGACAGTTACCCTCATACATGCCAGCATGAAGATCATTAGATTTCTTTTGTCATCCATGCCTATCCATACCACTGTGTCTCTTCTGGGATGTGATGCTGTGGTGTGGTAGGTTGTCACATCAGAGGAACCACCATCTTAGGATAGAAACGTTACTTTTCTACTCTGAAGATGGAAGTTCTTTCTGAAATGTCAAATTTTGTACCAGACTACATGACATAATAACCCAAAAGATGATCATCTTCATAGTTAATGCTGTAAGGATCCTTATAGTTGATTTCTTAACCACTGTGCTATGTTGGTTTTTCTGCTGCAGGCAAGAAGGTTTGATTCAGATTTTGCAGTCTTATAATGTTGTCTGTATATATATTGACCTCTTCTAAACCTGTCATACTGTTTTTCCACGCTTCAAAGATAATTTGGACTATGTTAGTTCATATTTTGGTCACAGTATGTTATGAAATAAGCGTTTGTATGTACCATCTGTTTTCATGAAACTGTTAAAGGCATCCATGAAACATGCAATTTCTTCTGTGTGAAGTTATCATAGAATCCCTCAGAGAAAGAGATACTGATGTTTTAGGGATAATGAGAGTGAATCAAGATATATAAATATGTCCTCAGGTAGTAAACATGAAACAGTCACTGTAAATAATTCAGCACAGGTATAGCACCAGAGTACTACTATTGTAGTGGTGAAAATGTTAGCACAGCCGTCCTTTGCTAGCCTCTGTGATTATGTTCCTGAAAATACTGCAGATGCCATGACAATCTGCAGAGCTTCAGTTATCTTGGCCAAGGCATTGTGGGAAAATTGGTGCTAAGGAAACTGTGGCAATTGTTAACACTTCTCAGAATGCAAGTTCTCTGTTCTTTCACTGAAGGAAAATAGGTAGAATGGATGAGACATAAGAGATAAAAACTGTCACAAAAAGACATAAAGCAGTGGTAATCTGAAAGCTAAAAGATAGTTTAGAATACAGTTACATCCATGTTCACAACAAATATCAGTCTTTTGGCATGGAAGCCACTGCCTTTTTTCTGTGTGTACAGAATTTGAAAATCACAGATAAACAAAACCACATACCAACATTTGGGTAGTTGTGGTCGTCAAGGAAGTGCTGTACTTGGTAGGAACTTGATCTCTGCTGCTTATATGCTGCTCATGTTAGCAAGTCTGTGGTATAAATAAATCCTTATTTGTCATAATGAACTTAACAATGTTCAGCCATTGTGCTTGTGTGCATGTGGATGTTGCTACATGCTTGGCATGCAGCCTGTATGGCTAGCTCTGGTATATTCATGCTGCACTTGTTGCCCATGTTTCACTGTTGCATTAAATTCTGCTACAGATTTAACAACACTTTATCAACATTGATTACATGGCAACAAAGAACATGATTATGGATGGTGGATTGGGAAGGATATGAGAAGGATCAGTGATGACCTGTTTTAAGGTATCAGCTGTACATTCACTTGAATTGACTGATGAAAGCCATTAGAAACTTTGTCAGGGTATGTGGTCCAGAAGTTGCGATTAGAATGTGGGCATTGCAAAACAAAGCCATACTGCCAGACATATCAGTTCAACATTCAATTCCACCATCTTCTTCTAGGTTTACTGACTTTTTATTAATTGTGTACATGTGTGTACAGACACACACAGGGGGGGGGGATCAAAACTGTTCCTCTGGCTGGCACAGATCAATCAGTAAAGTGAATGGTTACTTCTGGATAGCCAGGGCTCAATTCCCAGCTGGGGTGTAATCACTATGTGAATGAAGCTGATCCATAACCAAATGCAATATTTAGTGAGTGATTTAATATCAAATAGCATGTTCTTTGCTAATGTTTTCATGGAATTTTGCATAGGGTCCAGGCTGGTCGTACGAGACAGAGCTACCTGATTGGGCAAGAGTAGACTGGACAGAGCAAGATGACTGAGCCGTGACTTGTGGTGTGAAACATCATAACACCCATCCATACAGACAACTATGTATAGGGTCCAACAACCAATTAAAGAACATACAGCTAGCATTTCATAATGATGAAGTCCTTCTTGCAAATGACACTGCTAGTGTAAGATCTGAGGTTTTCAGAGCAGTGGTTGTGAATAGTTCTATCTTCCAGACTACACAGGATATATCTGGGATATATCCCAGAAGACAGAACTTTCTGATGCTGCTGATGTTTCATATTTATAAAAGTCACAGAGTTTTTATTGAATGGTGTAAGATTTTAGGGAATGTTAAATTTTGAAGTCATGCACTTTATGGAAAGAAACAGACAAAATACAGGTCTGTTTTCAAGCTCGTAAAAAAATCATAACCATCTGTCACTTGAAATTATGCAAGACAGACAAACAGAACCAACAGTCTGTCTGTCAGAAGTAAAGGTAGGGTGGCCACCACCAAAAGTAGTGCTCTCCAGTTGCATATAAACAGGCTCATCACTGCATGAAATATAGCTACAGTTTAATATATACTACAATTTTACATACCATTGATTGAATATAGCTAGTTTACTGTGGTTCATATTTTTCTTTCTGAAACATATCTCTAATGCCAATCCAGCCTTCTTATGAAAATCTCCCACCACTTCCTTTGACATGGTTCTTAGCAGGACCAGTATAGCTGTTACAATATTAAATTGACAGGTGGCCACCCTAGGTTTATGCAGCATGTGGCACTGGTGCCTGACTGTTTATGGGAACATACTCATTGGTAAATGCAGAGGTGAAAGTTAAAATTACATATCATAACCTGGAACTAAATTGTTGTCCAATATGCACCAAAAGGTACAGTGAAAACAAATGGAGTAACGTTTTAAATTATGCTTTTAATCCATAATGTTTTTATACACATTGGAATAGATTTACATACATATAAGGTGTGTTGTAACCTTTTGTGACAGTAGTTTTCTTATGGCAGGTACATAAGAAGTGCGTATTTTCTTTAGGTGGTGATATTGCTATGCTGGAAGTTCCTTATGGTAAAGTATTGACTTTTAAATTTCCCCTCTGCAGTTTAACCAGTCTTATAAATGTAAGTGCTGTATATTTTCTGTGATGATTTAAGAGGGGATGGTTTCCTAGGTGATGTATTCTCTTGACAAGTGCACAAGAAAATGAATGAATGACAAGGTGTATAACATATGAGCTTCCCCCTCGGCCTTGCGTTTATAAATAACATTACATTTTACAGTAGAATTACAGACTGTGCCTTGGAAATGTGTGTCTTTTTTTTATTTCAGAATTAGATAACCACACATTCTTACCCCTTGTATACCACACATATAGTTGCTTGCTTTGTGACTGTAATTGTGTATTTATGTTGGATTGTTAATATATTCAGGCTCAATTGGAAATTCGTACTTCCCTACAGTCCACGTTTTTTAACCCTTACCTGTATTTTTGTATTAGTCTGGTCCATCCCCTCTTCTTAAAAAATTATGATTTATGATTCCTTAGTTTGGAAGGAAACCTATGATGATTTACACTGAAAATAAATGCAAGTTGCTTATGAATTCATTTCAAGAAGCTTGTATGACAGGCAGTAGATGGCAGGAATTCCCACATTAGGACAGAACTCACAGTAGGACTGATATTGATACCTGAGTGAGAATGTTTTTCATTTGTTTATAGCATAAAGTGTTCTGTATTGATAACATACTGTGAGGCCATCTACTGATTGTGATATAAACAACAAAAAGTATGCTTAATCAAATCCCACATAGAAAATTTCTGATTGTGAGTCTGAATATGTTAAGTGATGTATGGCTTTGTGAATAATTAACTGAAATTAGTATCATATTGGTGGCTGCCTTTCTTTCATTTTACATTTGAAAGACTTTGTAAGGGATGCCTATATATTGTGGTTAGCATAGTAAACTAAAAAATTATCACACTGAAGTGAATAGTTAATGGATACATTGATTTGTGTTGTAGTTGTTGAGTATTGTTGTTGAAAATCAAAGAATCCATGTTATCAGTGACAATACAAGGGAAACTCTACATGAAAGTTCCCATACAAAAGTGGTAGAACCTTTGTGAGGAAGAAGAATGATAAGAGGAATTCAGTTTTCCTGTAATTATCTCTCTTTCCGTTTGATATAAATGGCTGCAGAATTCTGCAGGTAGAATATTTAATAAGCTGTGCCACAATTCAGACATATGAGCCATATAATATGTACAATTTGAAATTCATTCCTTTTGGCCCCTCTGAAAGTAATGTTCAGCAGTTACAAGTGATATATGTTGAATTTATATGCAAGAAGAAAGAGATTTCTGAGTTAAGAATGATGTCTTAAAGTCATAGGTAAAAATAGCTTATTTCAGTAACACAAATTTTTAATCATTACTAGGAGAATTGAAGCCAAATTTCAAGAAATATGGTAATTTGCACATAACATTTTTTTGTTTCCTATGTCTTCCCTGAAGTAAACACTGAAACGTGTTTTATTATAGTTACGTTGTGCTTGATAACCTTTAATAAATAAGTTCCCGTCATCTCAGTATGTACATGAATCATTTTCATTTACCAGTTGGCTGTATGTATAATTTCTGTGTAATAATTTCATTAATCACCTACAGGAGGAACAGTCATCATCATCATCATCATCATTTGACATTTCCACCACTGTGGGTTATCATATGACAAACCATCTACATTCTTTTCTGCCTCCTGTAAGCACTTATTCGTAACTGTGCCCATTCTTTCCCTAATCCCAGTTGCCAATAGAACGTCTCTTACTTGGTTTCTTATCTTATCCTTCATCTCCTGCGTGATCATTCATTCACCATCTTGATTTCTGAGACTGAGTCATCCTGTTGTCATCCATGCATAAAGTGTGTACTTAATTTAGCCAACTTATTCCTGTAGCATTTCTCAGATTGCGTTTAATATCCTGGTTTCAGATATTATCCCTTTTTTGCTGTTGTTCATTTTTTAATACTATATGTAAACTGCAGCTTCTTGTAATCTGTTGACATATCTCTTAGTACAGAAGGTATATCAGAAATACAAGAGAGACCAGCCAGTAAGTTACAATATCTGGGAATATTCAGAGCGAAAAGTCTTTTTGTTAATGTGTGATGTACCTTTTCATTCTCAGTTTTTCAGCACTATTAACTTCTGAACAATAATTTCCATGCTGTTTCATAAAGTAGAATAACACAAGAGAGAATTATGCCAAAGAGAAAAGGCGGAAAATGTTGGAAATTAATTATTTTGCATAATAAAGTCAATTCTTAACATGCATGGAATATATGTTAAGAGGAACCCCCATTTAAAGTTTGTCTTGGGGACAGGAGTTACATACCTTGAATCAAGAAATGTCTTAAAATAGGGGTCATATGAAATTTTAACTTACATTTTAGTGTTCACATCAAATATCTGCTTTAATCTAACAAAAGAATGAAGAAACATGCATTAAACATCATTAAAAATAAATACAAATATAGAAGGGCAACCTTATGACTTCTAATTAGAGTAACCATACAAAATGACTCATATAAATATAACTAAAATGAACAAATGGGCTTCTCCTTTTCTGATCACATCTAGTACATCGCTTATCGCCAGCTTCTTCCTTTTGTTAACCATCACTAATTCAGTTTTAAAAACTGACAAATGATGCGCACACATTACGTGCATACATGAATGTGATACATGTGCTCTTTATACAATTAAATGCAGATATACTAATTTCAAACACAGGTTTGTATAGGTAAGCTGCAAACAGTAATACAGCCTCCAAGAGGTTACAGTAGATGAGGCATGGCATGGCTCATTCATACTAGTTGCTCAAGGTCAATAAATGCCCATGCATATTGTTCACTAGTTGATGACATAGAAGCTGACCTTTAGCAAACAGTAGGGTACATAAACTAGACATGGGCACATTGTGGCCCTCGAGTTTAGAGTACTTGTAAGCACTAAATAAGGGTATGGACGTCATGCAGGAAATTAACTTTTATCCAATAAATGCAGTTGAAACACTACACTGAGAAACATTGAAACGAAATAATTTATGCATTGTGTAGTTGTGGCTTTTGCCAGAACTCCAAAAAATAAACACTATGAGTAAATGCAGGGAAACCTTAAATTGAGATTCTACTGTACTATATACTTGAGTATCAGCCAGGTCAGATCATAGCAGGCCTAGTAGAATGAGTATCACAGTTTAATCTTATTCTTTTCCAGAGAAAGATACAAAAATAAGTATATATTGTCACATGTATTGGTGACTTTAGACAAGGGTTTGGATTGGTGAATCAATTTACTGGATATTCACTAGTTGTAACTGCAAATAATTAAAACAATTTTAAGATTACTGTAATTAAAACACAGAAATTAAGTCTTCTATATCTACTTTAACTAGTTATTGCTAGGTAACAGAACTAAATAATGGATATTCTTCTGTAAAGTTTTCCCTATCTGTTTCCTGCAACGGATTTTAACACAGGAACTATAACTGTCACACTCCAGATATCACTGCACTACAGCACATGAAGTCTTCAAATCGTATATTAAGTCCTCACTGGCCGACTTCTAATTCTTCTTCAACTACGAACTTCCCATGGCTGACTTCAACTCTCCAGTCTAATTCTATCAACTGGACTCTGTACTACTTCTAGTTCCAATTCACTCTAATCCTAGTCAAAGTCAAAGTCACATTGTGACTGACGGTCAGTCAGTCAGTAAGTCTTGGAGTCGAGCCCCATCTGGGGCTCATGACCAGATATTATATGTAATTATTACCATTTGGCAGTTACGGTCTTATTTTTTAGGGGTACCCTCTCTGACAAGATGATGGGTTTGTCTTTTGCATACGATGCTGGCCTTTGCCAGTGCAGTCTTTCTCGGGTCTGAGTCCCTTGAGACTCGTGACCATATTTTACACTCTCAATTTTGAGATTTCCCTTTTCATCACCTCCTACGTTAGGGCTATGGTGGAGATATTCGACAGCTCACAGTTCTTGTTATATAGCTGTGGCACGGACTGCATAGAAAACCTCTTTTATGCAACATAATTGCGTAACCTAGCAACTAGTGCATATCTTATAACAATAGATTCCCTACTGTTATAGTGTTCTTAAGGGGGGAGGTGTTTACCAGCCGTCGCATAGAAATGGCAGTTCTTCTATTGTAGCCTGTATTCGTTGTCATGAGAATGTTTATGGACATTCCTGTATTGTTATAGAAACAGCCCATATGTTACAATATTGTGGCGTTTTTTTAGTGACTAGACACGGTTTGGACTAATGACTGAAATTAATGAATGCTTATTACTCATAATTACAAGTAGTTACAATTTTACTGTTCTACGCAATCTACAAACAACTACAATGCACTTGAAATCTTCCCACTCTGCTGTCTTATGTACTCATTGCTTGGTTGCAGCTTCTAACAATTGACATTCCTTTTGGTGCCTCTATGAACAAAGGCTCCTGTCCATGCTGGCTGACAACTGACTGCTAACCACAGATTGCAGCCCTGTCAGTCAGTCCTCCATATATATTTTTGGCATGGACCAACTGCATCTTGCTAAAGTCAGGCTTCTGGGTGCGCATATTTACATGGCTTCCACCAGGCTGGTAGCCCATGTTACCCATGGATGCCGAATCGCTTACCATCTGTTCCAAAGGCACCAAAAATCATCTCTCCACCACCTTCCTTGAATGCATCTCTATCTGGATTTGAGCATGGTGTTTGCCTTCTGCCGTCACTGCCTTCTCAATCAGCTCCACCTGATTCAGTAACTGAAAAATGCATTCATCTCCCACCTTTATTGTCTTCAGTAAATCTGTCATATTCCGATATTGAGCAAGGTGTCTTTCATTCATCTTCATCACCTCCTTCCATTCTGAAGTTGAGTGCAATGTTTCTCTTGTGTAAGCACTGTCATAGCTCTCAACTGTTGTACGAAACTTTCACCCCCCTGTAAAATCATTTTTATCTGTGTTGACTTGTGTTCTGTCATGTCCCCCCTATGCCTGCAGCATCACCAATGAAATGAGGACAATGAAGAAGCCAGAAGGAACAAATATCTACCAGAAATTTTGCTCATTTCCTGGCAAGTTCTACCTGTGCAATTCACAGGACAACTTTGATTCTGTTTTGTTTGAGTCGAGGGCTTCAACTGGGACCTCTTTGGAGGATGGGATTGGTTTCATGTCTGGGATTTGATCAAAGGATGGGGTTGGTGTGAAGCCTGGGATTGGTTCAGACACCAGGATTTTTTCAGAGGCTGGGACTGGTTCAGACTCTGTTATTTTGTAGAATAATTCTTTGGAAAATTCCACAAAAACTATGTATCCTGTGATGATAGATAATATTACCACTCCTCTTATCACCATTTTATGCTTATTTTTCTAGCTTTGTAGTTAAAGAGATTAGTTGTCTCCTGCTTCCTCACAAGGTCTTCTCAGTCCATTACAGTCTTCACTAGCCATTCCCTAGAAATGGATTTTAACTCAGTAACTATAACAGTCTCACTGAATAACACACTCCAAACATCACTGTAACTACAGCATAAATAAAGTCTCTTCTATCTTCACTAGACACTGTCCGCTTATATCCATACTGTCTGGCATGTATCCCACAACTTAACTGAGCTCAAAGTCAAAGTCATAGTTACTTTACAATTGGCAGTTTACCACCAATCACTTCATCTTGACACCAAGCCCCTTCAGACTCACAACCAGAGATTTCTTTTCAGCTGAACCCTTGCAGTCATAGTCCTCTGATGAGAAGATGAGTTTGTCTCTTGTGTCAGTACAGGCTTTGCACAGCAGATCATGCCTATCTTATGCAACTTATGCTACAATGGAAGCTTAGTCATTTGAATGATTGTAAGCTTGACAATCGCCAAGTTTAAGCCTTTCATATTTTTTTGAACTGAGCTCTAAACATGTCTCAGTTATAACATCTTGGCTTGGACCAACAGAAAACACAGCTCTTCTGTTGTTGCTCTTATAATTTCTATGGCAACGTGTTTTGTGCAAAACACATTACCCAGTAATGGCTCTGTTGTATTTGCTTATTTCACAGTCATCGACTAATAACAGCCTTACATGCTGCAATGCTGTAACATACAAATTGTATGTGAAATTATAACTTCGTAAGTATTCACAGGCTAAGTTTCTCATAGCCCATACCCCATTTTCATTACTGCCCATTTTACACTAGCAGTTCTTTTGAGTGAGATGACCATATTTTCTTTAATTATTTTGTTCTCTCATACATCTTCATGGGGACAACTCAACCTTTACTTTTATGGTTCATACCAATAAATTCAGAGGCACAGAAGCTGCAAATTGCTTCCCGCAAAGGTTGTATATTCATTCAACTGCAGAAACTCCAGATTAATTTCTATATGCACAATTATCCTTAATACTCATTTTATAATGTCAGTATATAAAATTTAATCTGTTAAGATATCAAGCTGATGTGTGGAAATAAAATATTATTTCCCATGTTTGGCAGCAATTTTTTGACAGATCATTATTGTAATTGTTGCTGATGTTTTGTAACTGAGATATTCAAAACTCCAATCTTTGTCATTAAATATAAATGGAAGAATTTCTGAGAAAAACATATGTAATTTACTTTCCTTTGGACACTCCAGTTATATGATAAGGTAAAAAGTAGCTATTAACTAATAATTATGCAATTTTGGGATCCATTTTCATGCCTGATTTCCACCGGTACAGATTCTAGCTACTTTACATTTATCTCTAAGCAAATATTGATGCAGTAACCATATTTATAATTGCTTATATATAAGAAAGTTCCCATATAGTAGTTTGTAGATGCGTTTATGATCATTTTCCTTTCAGAGATTCAATTTCTTTGCTTCTGTGGTTTATTAGTTATTACCATCAAATGGGATGCTAAATATGGATTTTGTATTGTTCTGTATTCCACAAAAAATAACAAGAGTTGCATATTTTTTGAAGACCTGTAACCACGCCGTAATTCAGGATCCTATTCTAGTACTCGAAGTAGCAGCCCTTTTATCCCTCTCATGGCCACCATGTTGGTATTTTTGACAATATGAAATTAATAGATATAAAAACAGGATGACACTTGGTGGCAGTTTGTTTGTAGCAAGTTTTATTTATATGCATACAGGGATGTGGTATAAACTTGTGTTTCCTTATAAGATGTGAAAAGTTGGCTAAAAATTGTAGCTTTAGTGTAATCCTTATTCTATCTCCACATTCTTCTACATAAAGGATAACATCCAACTCATCACTGTGATGCTGAAATATGCACTTAGAACTCAAACACCATACATTTACGTTTACTTGGGTAATCAGAGCCAGTTTGTTAATGAATTATAATTAACGTGTTTGTTAAAACCGTTGGTTTCTTAAAGCTTTAAAGGCATACAAATTGGTGATGTTAATTTGCCCTTTATCATCTGTCACCTTAACCAACACGTACAGTAAACTTATGAGGAATATCTGCAAAAGAAATGTTTGCCCTCCTTTGCCTTAAGGAAGTGAGAAGTGCTGTAACTATATTATTTTTCAGTATTTCCTATACCAAATTTTCATGCCATTTTTTTATACATGTCACATTGGTACATATGTTTGGGACTTTTCATGAAGAAGAGATTGAGTGGCTCATAGTTTCATGGTAATTTATTATTAATTTAACTTGCTGGCAGTTGAACATGATTAGCCTACATTCTGAAGAGATGGGAAGATAGGTTTCTTTTCACTGAAAGTATCTCATGTCAGAGATGTACAGATTGTTGATTATTGTATATTTACCAGTTCTTATCAAATGCACTGGTTGTGTAATATAAATAACAGGGCAATTTGTAAATGCTGCTTTGGAAGGTAGTGATTATAGCGCATGTAAGGTACTATATTAGGAAAAATCTCGAAATAGCTAATCTTTGGGCTGTGGTCTTGAATATTGACTCTCCAAAATATGAAGCAGGAGTGCTGATCACTAAACCATGACATTTGCTGAAAAATATAGAAAAATAGGACTTACTTCTAAGTGATGTCTCTTGTTCATATCATGTGCAGGTTTGGAATATACAGTTCCATCAGCCTCAGGAAACTGAAAGAGGATACACTTGCAACAGAGGCATGATTTAGGATGGTTATATACAGTACGTGCTTGTTTCCTCATTCTTCAAACATTACAAAATGTTAAGGTTCCTTGTTGATTTAAATTTCATCTTCGCAAATACATTCATTATAAAACAATTCAGAATTAAGTTTTCTTTAATATAACTGACATGTAGGAATCCAGCTTTGACGTGAT